TTTTGTGTGTGGGGGTTTTGGGGGGAAAGGGGGGAGGGGGGGGGGGGGGGGGGGGGGCTTGAGCCAGTATTACATGTTCCCATTCATATAGCATAAGCTGAAAAATATTTAAACAATTTTTCTTGCAGTTTAAATTGTTCTTACTTGTGTTAGGGTTTTAAGGGTTAACATTTCTACTTGCTTCTCTCGCTTTGCAATGTTATGAGAGGCTGTGAGGGGTCTGAGGTGGTTTGTCCATTGTATGTTAAGTGAATGAGAGGAACACAATCCTGAAATTTTAGTCCTAAGCCTTTCCATTAGGACAGATTACTGTGGAGGTGCTGAGAAAAACCTAGAATCGGTCATCTTGCCTGCTTTAACAAAACCTGTAAAAGCTAAGTAATATTTGTTTTTAAGATTATTTTTCTTTATGCTGTGTGAATAGGATCACATAACAAACATACTATATATTGGGGTTTTCTCAAATTTGGCTGCAGAAGTGGAAATACACTTTAAGTTTACATTAGGAAAGATTAGTATTAGGGTTATATATTTATACAGTATTAGGAAGGATTAGTATTAGTGTTATGTTTATATTAGGGAGAGTTAGTGTTAGGGTTCAATTGACATTAGGAAGGATTAGTATTAGGGTTATGTTTATATTAGGAAGGATTAGTGTTAGAGTTATATATTTATATTAGGAAGGATTAGTGTTAGGGTTATATATGTATATTAGGATTAGTATTAGGGTTATGTTTATATTAGCGAAAGTTAGTGTTAGGGTTAAATGTACATTAGGAAGGATTAGTATTAGGCATATGTTTATATGTTTATTAAATACTAGTGTGAGAAGTTGTTCTCAAGGAAAAATTTAGCTGCAATGGTAGTATGATTGTTGAATACGATATCCAACATAATAATGCCCAAACTGGATATCGTACTAAACAATCATACTACCATTACAGCTATATTTTTCCTCGAGAACAGCTTCTCACACTAGTATTTAATAGGCAACTGTATAATAATTTTCTAGTAACTTTAATGTGTCCTCTTATTCCTAAGTTTGAATGTTATAACTAAAGAAGGTTATATTATCTAATTATTGATGTCATGCAACAAATTCCTCTCTCTAGAGATATCATTTAAATAAAACTTGACATGAATTATCATCTGTAAGCCAACAGCTAGTCTCGGCAAGCCCTTGCTGGATTATGTAACTGTGCTATTTTCAAATAACCTCAAGCTAAAATTATAGAACATGGAAAATGACATTCAAAGAATTCTCATCTGGCTAAAAGTAAAACTTGGTTGAACCTGTTTGCCTTTCTTAGGGCATTTGTGATTTCTTTCTAAATGTGTTTTTGTATACAAGAAATCTGTGTCATCTACAAATGGAAAATATACTTTCATTCTAACCAGTCTGATGTTTTTATACATTGGAACAGAATGCTTTTATTTTCAACCTAGGATTGTCAACATTTAGAACATTGGAATGCCAAACATCTCATACATGGGGTCAGGAAAATGGGGGAAGTTCAACACTTTGGTTATGTATGTGTCAACTGGCAGGTTAATTAGCTTTCTAATTGGCCATCCAATATTAAAACATAACCTTCTCTGATATCAAGGACTGATGTTAATTTGTTGGTGCTATGTAAATGCATAAAAATAAAATGTGTTTGTCTACCCTAAAGGTTTTTAAGCTAACGTTTACTATCAATTGCCCAATTGGCTTGAGCCAGTAAATTAAAAAGAGATATTATATTGCTTTATGAACATAGCTGATATTTGATATATATCGGTGCCGATACAGAGTATTTGGGCGAGTGCTCGTACTCGCCCAAATGCTCTGATGCCTAGCACGAGTACTTCCTATATCAGGAAGCCGGGCAGAGCATCATTACACGCTGCACGGTTTCCTGATTGGCCGGGACACGGCTCCATGCTCTCTCATCACTTGTGATGAGAGCATGGAGCCGACTTCCCGGCCAATCAGGAAGCCAGGCAGCGTGTAATGACGCAGCGCCCGGCATTGATTGGCCGGGAAGCTGGCTTCATGCTCCCTCGTCATTTCATGACGAGGGAGAATGGAGCCGGCCTCCCGGCCAATCAGAAAGCCGGGCGTTGCGTCATTACACGGCGCACAGCTTCCCGATTGGCCGGCTAGATGGCTCCGTCTGCGTACCGGAGGAAGGCCGCGTTCTGGCTGGAGAGGCCCCCGGGGGGTGACAGGCTGGACATACAAAAGGTAAGAGGGGACTTTCTTGTTAATCGGGAAGCCGGGTGGCGAGTCTTTACACGCTGCCTGGCTAATCAGGGAGCCAGGTGGCGAGTCATTACACACCACCTGGCTTCCTGAATGGGACTTCCGTTACTCGGTAATTTCTATCGGCGAGTACCGAAAAAAAAATAATCGGTACCAGAATACCGGTATCGGTGCATCCCTATTTCAAACCATCAAAACTTTTAGCTTGGTTACCTGTACAGTTATTTGGAACATCTTTGACACTGGGCTGTTATAATCCTTGTAATCTCTTGGCATTTTTTTCTTCAGAACTTTGTTACCATTTTGAGTAAAGGAGATTTAATAATGGAATTTCAACAAAAAGTCTGTGAAGGTTCTCATTCATCCAGGTCATGGTATATCTGTAAAAAATAAGTCAAGGCAACATCTTCAAGAAAAATACAACAAGTCCAGTTGCCTTGACTTATTTTTTACAGATATTCAACAAAAAGCTTCTTTTTTTTTGTATAGAGAGGGAAGAATAGGGACTATCATAAGTTTTTACTGTTTGTGCCTCCACTGGAAGATTTTTCCCTCATTTTCTGTCCTGGTGATGGTGGTCACTGTGTCAGGAAGGAAATCTGTCAATGTAGGCACGCACAACATTAAAAACAATTGCTTTATTTTGCATGGGATGGATGAGAACCTGTGTGAAGTTTTTATCTTGTCCACCTTCCTGTTGGGGGAAACCCCACCCATTAAAATGATCCAAAACAAAAAGTTTTACCTGGAGTTCCGCATTTAGAATGAAGTGCCATGTACTTTAGCTTTCTTTGGAATAATCAACCCTGCCCCTACAACACAGACAGTATAACTCTAACGATGCTCATGGTTTCCAAGTGGAATTGCTGCCCCGTGATATATGTAGTGCTTCTCTATCATTTCAATGCTCTGCAATGATAGCAATTAAACTCATGTTTTCTTTTCCTAGGAGAGAATTACAGTCTTTAAACTATGCCATTTGATGTTACATTTCACCATGCAAAGGTTAACAGAACAGCATCATGTTTGTATTTAAAGTGCCTCTAAATTCTGCTTTATATTTCTGATCGCTAAATGTAAATAGAGCAGAATGTCTGCAGGATAACTACACATTAAAATGTATTGCAATTTACATAAAAAATGATAATGCCAGTTATAAACTGAGTTTGGCAGGATTCCTGGAAAGACTTATATCATGGAGGCTCTATCATCCCTACCAAGCCAGGATTGAAAAGTCTTAATATGTAAACTGTATCAGTATAAAAAAAACATGAAGGGGATTTAGATGGCTTCTCAGCTATGCTAAGGACAGATGCATTTGTGGTGAGACATGAGTTTTTACGTCCAACAAGATTAGGGGATAATTATAATACGTTTATGGGGCAGACAAGGTCAGATTGGTCAGTCTTTGGAACCAGTGACCAGGCCCATAAATCAAAGCTACACCTACTGATTTAACTGCTTTGCAAAACTGTTACATTCAAGAAATGCCTTCTATAATAACTATCATAGTTATCAGTGTTCTTATGCCAGCCCCTCACCAAGCTTTCAAGCCCTCAGGATGTCATAGCTTATGATGTGTAGTACCATGGCAACTGTAGATCTAAAAAGAGGCTAAGATGGATCCCTCTTCAGCTGTAAAGTATAGGAGGGCTTAGTTTTGCTATATCTATTATGTCGATAGCAGTGCCGACATGTAAACAGACTCCCGGTGTCAGGATGAGGAACATCTTTTCCCTGATGTCCCCTGAATTCAGAGCTGTCAAACCCCAGCTGCTCTTGCTGGGGAATAAAGCCGGGTACATACGGTTCGAATTTCTGCTGGATCCTGATAAACCGGCCGAAATTTGTACCGTGGGTGCCGCTATCAGCATCCTTCCACCGGGCATCCCTCAATCAGCTGATCCAAGGAGCCGGTTGGAAAATTCTTGGCGCAACGGAGCTAGCAGCCAACATGCAAACAGCAGGGAATTCATCCGTCGATGCTTGTATGCGTTGATGAAGGAATCCGTTCTACTTTTTGTTAACCCCAGTGGATTAAACGAAAAAAATAGAATCATGTGTACCCCACTTAAGAGTACAGAGGTGACACTAGGAGTAAAATACACCCCATAAGGTCTCCTTGAAGATAATCTGTCACCTGTGCTATGCAATCACATAGGGGGATTATTAGCCTCCTTGTCATAGCAATAAAATGAAAATTAGTACATTCCTGTGTTCCTCAATTGACAATAAAGAAAAATAATGATCATTTTAGTATATATATATACATACATGTCAGGAGGTAAAGTAGCAGCACATCTGTGTGTTTTTGGTCCCTAAAGCTCTTGTGTAAAAACTAAAGAGTGAGTAGTCAGTATATGGCTTTAAGTTTACTGAAGCTTATATCATTTTTGCAACATTTGTTTATCCATAAACACATCACAAACCAATATATTGATTGATTTAACACATCTTTATTGATCAAGTACATTTTTTTAAATGATCCCTTGAAAATGTTTTTTTTTTGTTTTTTTACCAGTATGGTTTGCTGACATCTTTAAGTAATATTATGAACAATAATTTATATGGCTTTAATTTACATTATTTTGACATTCTATATGAACAGTGTTTCATAACATACAATGCTGCTGAAGCATGAAAACAAAATGCAGATCTTGACTGCGGCTGCAGCCCCAGAGCTTACTAGCACTGACTACTGAGCTGGAGACTCTGACATTTCTGTTAACTAACAAAGGAAGGTTTGTGGCTGCGCTTGTTGTCACAGGCAATGCTAAAAACTATGAGAGTGATCTACAGGGTCAGGAAGGTGTATGGGCACGCTCACCTGCCGTAATGTTTTTAATTTCCATGGTTGTGAGGTCGAGGAAACGCACACACAGAAGGTCCCCAACACATTTATTCTGCTATGTTCTTAGGTAAGGCATTCCTGTGGTCCTTTACTCCCCCTTGAAACGTGGAGGCCTTTTCTCCTTAAATGCTAGTAGGCCTTCAATTCTATCCTTAGTTGGAATAACCTGCAAAAAATCCCCAAAAAGATATTTCTAGTTAATGGCAAACACAAATTTGGAAAATAAACTATTACAGAATTATAACAGGAACATATCAGATTATTAGAGGTCATACTCTCCAGGCAGGGTCCTCCTAACAATCTACAGTATAAATCTTGTATAATATTATTAACCCAATGACACAGGTGCTTTTCCATTCAAAAAAAACACAAAAAAAAACAGTTGCCCTCCTATCCCCAGTACACTCCCACATTCACTATGGATAGGGAAAACCTCCGTCTTCCTATCCCCATTACAGAAGTGCAGTGCCCCTGTGCATATCAGTACTCATCTACAATTTGATAATTACCCTGCAAATACCACTGTCACCCTCCATCCCCAATATATTGGGTAGGTCCCTAGGCACCACAGTGGCGTAGTGGTTAGCGCTTCTGCCTTGCAGCACTGGGGGTCCCTGGTTCGAATCTTGGCCAGGTCACTATCTGCAAAGGAGTTTGCATGTTCTCCCTGTGCTTGTGTGGGTTTCCTCCCACACTCCTAGGACATGCTGGAAGGATAATTGGCTCCTGTCTAAATTGGCCCTGTATGTGAGATGGGGACCTTAGATTGTAAGCTCCTTGAGGGCAGGGACTGATGTGAATGTGCACCTATATAAATCGCTGCATAGAAATTGTCGGCACTATATAAATACCAATAATAATAATACGGGAATACCAAACTTCCCAATGCAGAAGTATAGTGTCCCTCTAAATAATCCTCCTCATTAACAATTTCATGATTACCCTGCCAAAACTATTGCCACCCCTACCCCCATAGGCTGCTCAGTACCACATTGTGCACATCTAATAAAAGTAATATATATATATACACAGTGGCCAGTTTATTATGACCACCTGACGTTTGTAGAGGGCCAGACCATTACAAATAGGGAAGCAGGTTGTTTACCACGACAGTAGAAGGGATTTTTTTCTGAAGATATGGGGAAACAACGCGATTTAACAGCCTTTGAACGCGGGATGATTGTTGGCGCGGAGCCATAGAGTGAGTATCGGCAAAACAGCAGAATTTGTTAAATGTTCAAGAGCAGTTGTTGTTAAAGTGTTTAAAGACTGGACTGTCAGCCGAAAATCAGGGTCTGAACGTGGAAATTGTGGCCGTCTGCGACTAGTCAATGTTAGGGCAGAACGGAGAGTACAAGACAACAGAAGGGCAACAGTGCAGTGTCAGATTCCTCGCATAGCCTTTCAACATCTCGTGGAGTCATCTCGTGGCCCAACGGAGTACTGATGGGGTGGTCATAATAATCTGGCCACTCAGTGTATAGTTTGTACACTTTTCCCCCCTTTACACAGTAATCCTAAAGTGAAAAAATGTAAATCATTCAACTTGTTGTCGCCTCTGTTTTTAACAATGTGGTCTGTGTGCTTGTGACCTAAATACCATGCAAAGTAAAGCAGAGGGCAGCTTCTTCTCTCCTGCTATACTAGACATAGATCACTTTTTACAGGAAAAGTCAAGTATTGAATATATTTTACATGCCTATATCTTTGGATAATATCAAAATCTGCCTAAAAAGTCCCAAAATGTGAACAGAATAAGCATGAAAATGTAAAAGTCACATCAACAATTACTTCTGAATAATTTTTCACAAATGCCTTCAAAGTAAAAATAAAATGTCCAGCTAATGGGTGAAATACATCTGTAAACTCCTACTGGAAATGTAGACAAACGGTCAGTAGGGGCAAAGGACGTTTAAAAATTGTCCCATTGCTCTCTGTTGGTGCATGTGCTCAGAGCTCATCCAAGCAGCTCTATACAGTGCAATCTGTTCACATGTGAGAGTCCTCTCCTTCCTGTCGCAACAGAGTAAGGGAGCAAGGAATGAATGAATGGGTTCTTCATTCATTGCAGATAATCAACAGGCAGTAGCAGATGAAGGTATTACTTTATTATTAACCCTTTCACTTCTCTTTTCTCCCGTACATGTCAGCACCATTCCCGTCTCTGTATGTGACCTGTAAATTAACCACTTCACCTTCCTTATCCTGCACATCTGCATTAAACCCCCCTCCCCATCTCCATCCTGTACATTGACCCTTCACCTCCTTCCCATGTGTGCCCCATTACCAAGTGTGTAGCCTGTATCACCTATTTTCCCAAAGACACTGGTGGGAAAATTGTGATTGATGCTATGTAGAATGCAGCAGGAGGTGAAAGATTGGCATAGTCTCTCACAACAAAATTATTGGTCTGAGGTGGAGACTGTTTAAAAGCATTAGACTGTAATAGTACACAAAATTTACCTCCTCAATGCCAGCATGTCTCCTCATTTCCAAAGAAAATTTTGAATGAAATAAGATCACCCTGGGGTGTCTACTTTCCAAAAATGGTCATTTTTAGGGGTGTTTGTACTGTCAAGGCATATGTATTTTAACAGAATGTAAGGGAAAGTTCTTTCTTTATATTTAAAAAAAAAAAACAACTAATTATTTAACCACTTGCTGTCCGGGGCATTTTCTTGCTAAAAAATAGTGCTGGGTCTTACTTTCCGGGTAGGTCTTATTTTCGGGGAAACAGGGGATTTGCGCACACATGATAAAATATAATTTTTTGGCTAGAAAACAGCTTCAGACCCCCAAACAATGATATATTTTCTGAAAGCAGAGGCCCTGTAGAATAAAAAAAAATGCTAGTTGCAATTTTTTTATGTCGCACGGTTTTTGTGCAAATGTTCAAAACCAGTATTTTTAGGAAAAAATTAACTAAATTAAAATTTAGTGCACAGAAACATAATATAATACCCAATTTTTTGGTAACATGTGAAAGTCTGGGTCACGCCGGGTAAATAGATACCAAACATGTCAAGCCTTAAAATTGTGTTCGCCCGTGAAGCCGCAACAAAAGGCAATACCCAAAATTTCCTATAGGGAACATTTTAAATGCTTTTACCGCGCATCAGTTTAATGCTAACAGTGATTGATGGCCTTAGAGTTATTGCTCTCACTACGACGTTCGCGGCGATATGTAACGTGTGTAGAGTAAATGTAGTTTTTGCACGTAGGCGCACCGACGCGTTATCGTGTGTATGTGTGTGCACGTGGGGGGCAGCTCTAAGAGCCGGAGACTGTACGAGTGACAATGGAAGTGATGTAATACACATCACTTCCGGATCCTGTGATCCGAGGAGAGATTAGCGGCTGTAAGCCGCTGAATCTCTCTCCGATCACTGCGGGGAGACCCGCCGAGCGGCTCCTGGGTGCCGCACGGGGACATCGGTGCTCAGGGAAGCCAACAGCGGCGGCTGTACAGACGTCGATCGCTTGTACAGTAACAGCAATCGCCTGCTGTTAAAAGCAGTACCAAGAACACGTCTGCTGCAGGAGCCGTGTTCTTATTTAATCACTTTAACGGGCCGCCGTCTATAGACGTATTGCGGCCCGGAAGTGGTTAATATCACCAAAACAGAGTTCTAGCTGTTAAAAAAAAATTATATAAACATAATTTGCATACAATTTTTCAGTCAAAGTATCACTGTCCTGAAAACTGAAAAATGACCTGGAAAGGAAGGGGTTTAACATGCTGATGTTGGGGTGGTAAATTAAGTTTAAAAAAAAAACAACCAAAATCTTCAAGTCAGTAACTGCTTACTCTCATGCATTGCTAGTGTCCTCCATTTTAACATATGGAACAGGTAAAGAATATAATTGTTTTGATGCTCTGACAAACAGTTATTATACACGATGCATCTAAACCTGTCAGTGAAAAAGATGGACACACAAATTTGTACGCTTCACATTTCTGTCACAAACAAGTTCTTTAATAATGCAGCTGTCTTAGATTACCAATTTGAGTGACTCCTGACAAAGTGAAAAGCAGCAAAAATGGAATAAAATGCCACTCGTGATAAAGCAGCACACATTTTAGAGCTGTAAACAACAGCAATGCATATGGTACAAAGCCTGATATGAATGCTCAAATGAATGTGTGGCCATTTAGGAAATCTAAATTTAGCTAACTTGCATAAACACCATTTGCTGATTTTTGTGTGGGAGGTTTCACATTATAAAAACAATAACTTCTTCAATTGAAAGGAATAAACAAACAACAAATAAAAGAAATAAGTACGCCCCTGCATGTAATCATATTTCAGAATGCCAGATCCTGCCATTTAATTCGATAAAATATGTCTAATGTATTTCTGGAAAACGAAAACATTTGACGTTTTATGGTTAATGATTTGGTTATTATACAGTCCTGTACCTGGTTGATGGCTATGGGGGTAAACTGAACTGATTCATAAACTTATATAGGTAGGAGCAATACAAATGTTTGTCCAGTACTTTGAGAGAAGACCCCAAATTGTCAGGATTAGGAAGCCATTGAAACGTCTGTGAGAATCTAGAGGAAAATATTTACCGTTTGAATGTTTCAGTTTTAAACATATTGTTCCCCTGACCAAAAAGTTTAATCATGGATGTGTGTCGCATAGATCACAATGCAGCTTTGTTGAATACCAGAGGGGAACAATATTGTGTAATGGTCAGATGATAAGTAAACATCTGACTGCAATCTTTTAGGCCTATGGCTAATTTAACTTGTGCAGTTTATATAAATAAAGTGCAAAAATGACCTTAACCCATGCATGGCCACTCACTAGCAAAAAACACTATACGGGGGAATCCCTATCTCCAGCTATTGTAGTCTGACAGAGTTGGGTGTACAGTTGTTAGAATACCCAAACAGTGACTACAGCTTATTGGGGAATTTTTGACTTTTTTCAAATGGGGAGGGGGGGCGGGACTTAAGGGGGCTGCACACTGGTCAAATTTCAAAATCTGACCAGTGTATGACCAGCTCAAGACCCTCTAAATTTTTTTACACTTCGCATACAAATTTTCTGTTCACTATGTGGCTGATGTGTAACGTGCTTGACCAGAGTATAGATGAGCGAACAATATTTGCAACACATTACTGTCACTAGAAAATCCTCCTAGGTGCGCTGCAAATGTTGTACACTCACACTCAGTTATACATTGGGCCAACACGTTTCAAATCAGCCCCATTGTGTGAGAAACTATCCAGATCATCTCTCACTCTCATGTTGCAAATAGCCACTACATTTATTACATCTTACTCGTATAGTAGCAATTTTCTCTAATAAATTATGTCTCATATTGCTTTGTTTTGGCAAATTAAGGTTAATCTGCATTTTGTTTCTTAACATAGACTTATGGTGGTAATTGTGCCAATCCAAGTCCTCCTGATTACACACAATATTTTAAGATACAATTGGTCTTTGCCTTTAACTACCATTTATATGCATTCAGGCTGTTTTTTCTTTTATAACAGGCCCACTTGTATTCCTGATGTATTCGTTTTTAAAATGTACACAGAGGTAATGTTTATGTGCAGCTACTTTTTTTTCAAACCAGTTTTGCTTAGTAATATTATATCTGAAAGCTTTCTCCATTTGCATTTGTAGGGTTTCTCCCCTACCATAAAGGTTTTCTGCTGCATGGTAAATCCTGATTGTTTATAAAATGTATTATAAAAATGTTATACTAATTATATAATAATTTATTGTACATTGGCCCATTGTTTCTATTCCAAAATGACATGCTCGGCTAGTCGGTGATCGATAAATATTTAGACAGGTGTAAATCCGAGAGAGGTACGTGGACGGAGAGAACGTCTATCCCTGGGTGAGACGACATCCTGTCGGTTGCATGCATAGGGGATGTCGTTTTAAAAACTTTAATGTGCAAAATACCACAATGTTAAGCAAGTGAATGTGAAGGGGTTGTACTCTCGATTTTTAAAACATCTTTCATACATAACAATGGAACTGTTTCTCTTCATATATTTCATGAGAATAGGTTTTATGAGTATTATTATTATCATTTTATTTGTATGTAACCAATATAAAATTGTATATAATTAAGAAAGTGCAGGAAATCTGTTTCCACAATCATCAGTGTACAAATTTTGTTTTTTGATGCCCTGAAGAATGGGGTAATCTGTGTGCCCCCGAAACGTGTTGGATGTTTTATATTATCCTATTGTAAATGAGCACTATTATTACAAACCTAAAAATGTCAGGTGAAGAAAGCTATAAGGCTATTACTGACATAATGATTTGCTATGGCATCAGAAAGCACTAATTTCATACATTTTATGTTGATGAGCAGCTTAAAAAGTGTTACCTGATGTCATCTCTCTAACTCTTTTGCTGCCAACAATATAAGGATTATGTCAGATTAAGTTAGCAGCAGCACTGACATGTAAGCAGAGTTTGTTTACTTTTTTACATTGGGCTGTCGGCTTTCTTGTAAAAGTGATTCAGGCGGTTATAAAGCCACTCAATCACTTCTACACGTACAGTAATGTGACAATCCCCCCCAGCAATGTGTCCTGGGTTTACCTGTCCCTCCTGGGTGCCCAAGACCTTCAAGGTGGGTTTCAGGATAGAGAGTGGCGGGAAATCAGTGATAACTTATCTCCCCTGTGAAGCATAAACCTGGGAGCACTCAGCTCTGAGCACTTATAGGTGCAGAGCTGTCTATCTCTGGATGTAAAGCTGAACTTTGAAAAGCAATAATTTCAGATGCATTAAATATTGACCTAATGTATGGTCATGATAGCCGACTAAGCACCCCTTTTGCTCAACAAATGTCCAACTCAGCAAGTTCACTATTTGCTAACTGTGTTTTATTTTTATTTTTTGGTTAGTTTATTCTACTTGTTCCTACCTACTAGCCTGATTGGCTTTCAAAAGTACCAAAACTGGACTTGATGTATAGGTATCATACCTGAGCATAGCATGCTTCTTCTATTGCTAAGCCTGTGGCTAAGTCCACCTAAAATGTGAAAGAAGATAGATCAGCATCTGTTAACATTTTCAGGTTTAAAAAAAAAATGAAAAATAATTATTATTAGCATAACATTCAAAAAATTTCACTGTATATTTGATCATCAGAAATCATATAAATAAGAGTATTGTGGGAATGAATACTGCAACATCAGACAGACTACAGTTGGCAATAGACAGAGAGATGTTTAACTGGGTAGGACAAGTGGTAAAATATATGACTCTTCTCAGTAGCTGTGCCATGCCACTAAACCCTCCTGTCGTATTCTTTACAATTTGCCTGAAATGTGAAAATATGGCGCATCTCCTTCATTTTATTTCACAGCAAAAAGGAAAGCCACAGAAATGTTTCAAGAAGCTTCCAAAGTCAGAAATACTAATGTCCTCCCTCTAGGGCACATGTACAATGATTCTTTCCTGATGGTTGCAAGCAATGTTTGAATCGCAGTCATTGCTAGGAAAGATTAGGTCGTATATGGGCGCCTTAATAAATATTCCACACAGCCAGTAGTGTCTACACTACATGAAACAATAATGCAATTAAATTAACTTACTTCAATGCCTTGGTTGATTGCTAATTTAGCCATTCTCATTGCAATCGGTCCCTAGAATTTAAAAATAAAGATAGTATTAATTGCAAAATGTAAAGGGCAAATAAGTAGAAAGAAATCAATTCCTTGAAACCTCAAAGGTATAGTCAGGCAGTTGATTAGTCTTCATTTACCTACAAACAGGAAAATGATTGTAGCAGATTATACCTAATCTGCTGATGATTGGCCACTACATGAGTGACAATTGATATGATAAATATATTCTTGCATTTATAAAAATCAGCCAGTGGATACCTTTAGTATATGTGTGCGGATCAAATGTTCACCAAGACAAATATGTAGATTGCCACTGTTGATCTTCTTAAAATCCTTATTTCCTGGCTCTTACTCGCATTACTTTCTGAGTCATCGACCCAGAACAACCAGCCAACAAGTTGGGTCAGATTAAATCAAACACTCCCGAACTGCATACTTCTGGGTCAGTAACTCAAAAAGTACAGGGGCCAATAGATCAGTCTGATAACCTGACAATTAACATTTTCTGAAAAAGAATAAGCATTGGCAACCACCTAATTTCTTACAGTACAGGATTATTTAAAAAAAAAAAAAAAAAAGTAAAGAGCAATAACAAGCACCGACTTACAGCAGAAACCAGATTTCTTTATTCACTAGTCTAGATCAGTCAGAACAATGAAGGATGAATTGTAATTGGTTGCTATGGGTTACTGCATTATGCACACCGTTGATTAAATAAGCCTCAAGCTGTTAGAAAACTTGTGCACTTCTGAAAATGAACTACTCTATATGACTATACACACACGCAGATAATTGAAATGTTAACAATTCTGGTTTATAGGTATACAATTCAAACATGGTTTGTTAAGAGTGAAGAAATTACAGAGATTGTAAGCAGATTTCACCACTCCAGGGCTTAGATTACATATTTACTTTCACTTCCATGCTCAATTAACGGTATTACAACAGTTTGAATTCCTAGAGTTTATTAGTGCTGATTGCTACTATTACATGGATTTTTCATGAATGCATTCTTTATCCTCTGCTGATACACTCATATAATCAAAGCAAACACACAAATACCTTGGGCTCTTTTATACATTGGTCCAAAGCTATTTATGAACAGAAATATACAGTCACAGATCAGCTTTCATTAGCTAATGTTAAACTGTTTAAAGGTGACATATAACAGTAAAGCTTATCAAGTTATGCCCTTTCTGCACAGATATATATATA